CTGAGGCAAGAGAATGGCTTGAGCCCAGGAGTTTGAGGTTGCTGTGAGCTGTGACACCACGGCACTCTACCAATGAGACCAAGAGTTTGAGGTTGCTGTGAGCTGTGACGCCACAGCACTCTCCAAGTGAGACTCTGTCTCAATTTTTAAAAAAGAAAGAAAGGGTAAAAAGAGAAGGAAAGATAAAGTGGTGAACAAGAAATGAAAAAGTAGTTCAGGAAGTAAATTGGAATAGAAAGAAAAACAAAATTATCAGTGATTGAGGACTGAAGAAACAAGAGGCAATATACAAAATGAGAAGGTAGTGGAAAAGTGACTAAGGGAGAAAATGAAGAAAAGGCTGAGGAGATGAGCAGGTAAGAAGCACCTGAAAGAACAGAATGGGGTGAATGAAAAAGAATGAAGAATAAAAAAGAGAGGTGGAGCCTGTGGCTCAAAGGAGTAGAGCGCTGGCCCCATATACCGGAGGTGGTGGTTTCAAACCTGGCCCTGGCCAAAAACTACAAAAAAATAAAAAATAAAAAAGAGCAGGGGGTGGCGCCTGTGGCTCAGAGGAGTAGGGTGTAGGTCCCATATACTGAAAGTGGTGGGTTCAAACCTAGCCCCAGCCAAAATCTGCAAAATAAAAAAATTTAAAAATAGCAGAAGAATAAGTGCATGAAAAGGGAGAATAGTTAAGAGTCAAGGAATAAGAAGTTTAAAAAACAGAAAATTTGTTAGGGAATAAAACAAAAATATAGGAGAAATATAATCTTAACTGGATAAGATCAAGAAATAGATAAGATGACTTATATGTAAAAACGAACTGTCTCTAGATAAAGGTAAGACAAGCTCACATGATAAATTTAGGTGAAGAGTAACACGTATGAATAAGAATAATAAATAAAAAAGAGAAAGAGCATATACATTTTAAAACTTATGAGATTCTTCTATAACCATTTTGAAAGTACCTGATAAAATCTTTTTTAAAAGAATCTTTGATTATTATTATAAAAGGAGAAATACCACTGAAATTTTAGAGATTCTTGATCCCTAACATAGGAATTAAATAGAGAAGCATAAAAGGAAGTTGTTATATGGAGTCATTTCATTGCAAAATAGAAAACAGGAAAGAAAAAAACTATAAAACGTATAATCTTCAAGCTGACTTAACCTTAGAATCCAATAGAAATACACTGGAAAAGAGAAATTAGAAATGTGATATGTATCTAAGTACTCATTTTTAAATGTGTGTTTTATAATACAC